TTCTATTCTATTCCTCTCTGATCAAGGCCTCACCATATCCAGGGCTGATATTTTATTTTATTACAAAGATATCTGACATGATATCCATGATGTGTAGTCATTTATCTTAGCTTTTATTCCTTGAACTCAGCCTCTTATTCCACGAAAGCATCCACCAAAAAAAGGTAGCAATAGCAACTGGGTATGCGGAAAAATTATCAAAAAACTTTAGTCCCAGGCAGACAAGGTTTGGACATTGGAGCCATACGAAATACGTATATCCATCTATTATTCACTATCCTTCAATCATCTTATTCTATCAAAGTGATCTATTGAATTCTCCCATACTTATCAGTACTCTATTCACAAAGTGACGTCTCCCTATCCGTCGCCCTCAGCCTTTCAATATTCGGAACAAGTGAGACCAGGTTGATCCAACCTAAAACCGCCGTATCGGAAGCTTGATATGCTCTGGAAGCTCACTGGACTGTTTCCCCTCTATGGCCAAGAAAGGTGGGTAGGTGGCAGGTAGAACTTTGACCCCAGTATCTGATCATATCGTGGATAGCTCCGTGATAATAAATATATATATAATTCAATATCCTGATTTGGCGCTTTGAGGGCCATGCAGGTTTTATCGGAAGATATGTACTTGAAGTAGGATGACTCAATTTGACGTTTTAGAACACTCACACACAGATTTCATTTGAAGATACCACTCTAGGTTAACCTTTACGGCGTATAACCTCTTCCGTGCATACCCGTCACAGGGAAAAGCATGTAAAACCCGTGGCTATCCGAGTGTGCTTTCATCATCCTTAAAGTACATTATCACCGCGAGAGAAAGTGGTGTGTGGGGTTTACTGGACCCGAACCAGCTTTCTCCTGTCTCGAATGGGGTAGGTGTTCAAGCTACCCAGTATCTACTTGGGAGAACGGCTCGGATGGTGTACCACTGCACCATCCAACCTGCTCCGTAATAATGTTGCTAGAAGATTGTGCTGAGATATGATGACGATGAAGTCTGCTAGAATGGTTGGAAATCTGCATCACAGTGAGGACGAAGGTCTAGCTTAATCTCGGCTGTGCACGCTCTATATTGAGAGCTGCAGTAGCTTGTTGAATACCAATGACAGGTATTGAGTTTTCGTACCTAACGCGGGTAGATGTCCACAGGGTATACCGTATCCTCTTGATCTTGACTTGCTGGGCCGGAGAAATAAAGGAGAGAAAGAAGCTCGTAAGTCGTGATCCTTGTGCTGTAGGCAAAAAAGACGTTTTCTCCATGCAAGAAAAGTCTCAGTGGTGAGCCCCACTATCCTGCGAGGTACCTGATTGGTCTTAACACCCGCATGTTATCAACAAGTGCAGGACGCACTGCCACCCCGCCTCTTCAATCATTTTCTACCCCGCCGTGGAGCTTCCAGCCCTCAGTACCTCTAACGCTGCAGAGCAGTGATTGTTCGAAAGATTATGTTCAGAGTATCCCAAACCAGATTAATCGACTAAGAGGCTCGATGTGATTGGCCAGGCTTCTTCACGACATCCACGCTCAACCATTACTTTTCCCAAATCCTACTTGCAGGCTCCGTCTGTTCCACGCCATGAGATAGGGAAAACTGAGAGCGAGGAGCTAGCTCCTGGTTATTCACAAGTAGCCTTGACTCAGTTGTACAGCATCTTCAAATTCTCCAGGTTAGCTGCATCCTTAGATTGAAACTTTGTGTTTGCACCGACAAAGTTCAGTACTAACTGGTCTCTAAAGATATTTGCCGACATCTATAAATCTGCAGAAACATGGATTGGCTAGCTAGACAGGAAAGATAATGGCAATTCGGCGGCAATTTTGGTGTATATTTGAATGAAAAAACTTGGGTGGCTGTGCTAATAGATGAGAGCTTTAAACGAGGCTGAAGAGGGATATAATATCCAGGGCATACACACAATCGACCTGTAGGTCTAGTTTGAGTAGCTAGGGCACCTACACCACTTGGGAAGGAGACGCATGAGACCACATCTCGCGCGGAGAAGAGTCAATGGATGATGAACGCGTGTCTGGACAACTCCAGGTTTTTAGACGTTTCCCTGGGTGGGTTTTTACGGATGAGGGTTGACTTGGGGTGAAGAAAAAGCCACTATAACTTCGCAGTGGTCCTTGTAAATGAAATCCAAGGCATGAGTGCTCTTCTTGTATATTGAGTCATCTTTTCCTTACTTTTCCTCTGATATTGCGTCAAAGCCAGATATGTGAATACGCAATTGAGATCTGATTCAAAGAAAATTTTATCTGTGGGCACAAATTATTTCCGTGCCCAGGGTGATCTCCGATTCCACAGAACGTTGGAAATATAATATCATTACTACGTTTGACCACTGTATTCCCTGTTGTGCCGTTAAACCCATCATCTTCTCCTCCCCGCACAGGTATTCGAACCCAAAGGGCCACTGAAGATAGTTGTACGTACCTTATCACCCCCAAGCTTTACCGGCAGGAAAGTCATGGGTCACAGTTACTTGAAACAGACAATAGCCAGAGTATTGACTCGACCGCATAAGCTGCGACCTGCAAACTAGAAATGTCGGCCTCTAATTTACAACTCTATTTCAATAAACCTTGGGGAAAGAAACACGTTATGCATCTTTTCATTAGCCAGAATTCAACAGTTACAAAGCTCTATGCCGACATCACCCTGATATATCGGGCGAACCAGGATTATCCCAAAGGTAAAGACGGTACGATACTGCGAGTATTCCTAGATGCCTCCGCGATTTCGTGTGGCACCAAAGGCCAGCCTAAGACATCCTTGAACTCATTTAATTTCCAAATCACCACTCTACGCGTGAAGATCTATTCGAATAGCAATCCGATTTAATCAATGCCAAAACTTTCCGCGACAAGATCTTTTGGGAGGCTATTACGCTCCGATGCAAGCACGACTTCCTAAGCCGCACCGGCCATGCTTGCCAGCCAAGAATTGTCAGAAGCATTTCTCCGAAGTCATAGCTCAAGAGCTGCATTCCTGGTTAATCAACGAGTGTAGCAGGGCGACAAAACTAGCGTCCTGTGGTCTAGCTGATTAGTGCAAACTAATCATATGATCCTGAAATGAAGTCTGATCTAAACTATTGTCGAGCCGAGTCTTTTTGCCAGGTCGCGCTCGAAGTTGCTCGGCCACGAGAGGCTAGCTAGTTAGTATCTAAGAGATCATCCGGTTAAGGTTTTACGCAGAAGTCTGAGCAAGCGCTACTATCGAAGTAGCCAAAATGGGAAGTAGATCCAGCATCAAAGGTGTGACGATAGTACGGGGAATAAGCTTTGGAGTCTCAAGCTTCAATGATAAAATCACTGAGACGAACTTGTGGACGCAGTTAATTGCCATTACATCTCAATCTTCACAGAAAACTCAACCATAATTGAGGTTTATGATGGGAGAGGAAACCTACGAGTTGACGCGCTACACAGTTTGGAGCCCCTCACTTTTTATGAGCTTTGATACGAATTGAATTGGCTGGATCGTGATAACCAGTATTTAGTGCAAGACCCTGATTCTACCTGAATAGACAGATCTCTTCAGACTCCATCTGTGCGTAGAATTATGACAGCGGTCACCCAGACAAGGCGTTGAACACAGACCGAAGCGCAAATCCTTTACATCTTTCATTCACTACTTTGTATCTTCCAGTCCTAGATCTAGCCAGCTCTAGCGTCATTCGGTACCGTGTAAAAATATTTTTTCATCGTTAGGAACTTTCCGTCGTTGGAGCTTTGGTTCCTCCTCTGTTATTATGCAGGAATCTTGGAAACTATTTACATGGTGCGAATGAATTGGGTACTTGACCAGTCTTTCTCATCTCTTCTCCTGGTCCGGCATTCTACAGCGATTGCAAGGAATAATTTAGGACTTCGTATACACAGCCATCGAAGAGAGACTATTACTAGAGATAGATCTCGACTTTCATGTGCAAAAATTTCTTAGACGCTGGATAAATAGACATAATTCCAATCTATGGAGAGCTGATTCAAAGGCGATGGAGAAGTGATTTTCACCGATCTTCTGATAGCAGCATTCGCCCTAAATGACTTTAAATCTCCATTCATAGATGTCACCCGTGTTGTGGGTAATTGATGACCGCAAAGTCTTCAGCTTGAAAGCGGTAGATTCCGACTGATGCCACTTGTGGCGGGCCTGGGAACTTCGACCATTTACCGGCCCCAACCTCTGGAAAAGCACCATAAGAGATGTCGGCTACCCTATCATGCCTGTAGTATACTTCTGTCGAATTGTCGCGTCTCGCAAGAATCGGCCTGGGCAACGTGGTCTAGATCCACGAAAAGCATCGCGACTAGGCCTCCTTGTTTCTGAGCTCAACTAGTGTTCGCGCCTGTCTTATCTCGACATCAGCAGGGCTCGGTCCCATCTGCAGGTGCCCTTCGTTTCAGGTGCACCTGCCCGCCCCGCCCCGTCCGCCTCTTCTTTGCACAGAAGCACACGGACTCTCGCTCGAGCTAACCTTTCATCTTGTTACATGTGTTCATCGCAGACGGCACTGCTTTACTCCATTGCCGCATTCGGTGCTATATTGCACCCATCAGTACGTAACAACATGCTGACCACATCTTCGTCATTAGCTAATATCATTGCGCAAGGTTCAAGCGTTAGGTAGATTGTCTCTCAGTCGTGCACGTAGGTGACAAGTTCGTTGGCATGACTTCAGGTTTTCGTTGACCAGTTTGCATTTTTATTAGTTGAGGAAATCATAGAATATTAAACTAACTTTACTTTACAATGCTCTATATAAATTATTTATGACGTGATATCGCCTTGATTATCCAATCCTCATTTACACGAACAGGGCCACTTTTTCTTCTCGAGCCTCTTCCATATGACGGCCGCCATAGCGAGCAATCTCCAACTGCTGACTAGGGAAATTTTCTTGCTTTCATTCCTAGATATGTGGCAAGGGCGCAAGCCCGGCTCGCCCGCCAAAGTATCAGTATCTTCAAACTTGGTCGTTTTTCTTCATAATTTTGCCTTGATAATTTGTTGCTTCATCATCTCCTCGGCCACAATTCGTCGCTGTATCTTTCCTGTAGCAGTTTGGGGCATCTGATGCGTAAAGAAGACCTTTCACACATTGGTTAGTCTCATCTCAAAAACACCTTAAAGCTGCGGCTTACCTCTTTCGGGATCTTAAATGCTGCCAATCGCTCCTCGACCCAATCTTTGATTTCGCGTTGATCAATCTTTTCATTTTCCACCGGTAATATGGCAACACCAATATTTTGCCCATACGTTGAGTCAGGGATAGCAAATGATACTGCTTGAGCAACCTTTGGATGTTGGACTAGTACATTATCCAGCTCGATTGGACTGATTTTTTCTCCGCCCTTATTAATAAGTTCCTTAATCCTGCCCGTGATATACAAGTAGCCTTCACTGTCTACCTTTCCTTGGTCCCCAGTGCGAAAATAGCCAAGTTTTGTGTACGATTCCTGGTTTGCCGTTGGGTTGTTTAAATAGCCAGCTGTTAAACTCCCTCCTTTTATGCAAACCTCTCCCTCAGTCCCAGTAGGAACTTCATCACCTTTCTGGTTAAGAATCTGAATCGCTACGCCCTGTCCAACACCGACTGATCCAGGTCTCCGACGCGCAGGTGGTAGGAGATTAGAAGATATCTGATGACATGCTTCTGTCATCGCATATGCTTCCAGTACAGGTGCTTTCAGGGCCTTTTCGAGCGCATGAAAGGTAGTCGGACTTAAGGGCGAACTACATGATCGAATAAATCGAATTCTGGGAAGAGGACTTGGAAGCGGGTTTTTGAGCAATATTTGGTGAATGGTGGGTACAGCAGTATACCAATTTGCACGGTGCGAAATGAAATCAGACCAAAATCCACTTGCGGAGAACTTGAGAGGAACGATTACTGAGCCACCTCCATAGAGCGGGGCGAGTAAGCCCGACAAGAGTCCATGGACGTGAAATAATGGCATAACAAGGAGAGACCTATCTTGTGAATCGAGAGCATACGTAGCTTGAATGTTCTTGATAGATCGAACGATATTGCGGTGTGAGAGTGGTACAGCCTTTGGTCGACCGGTTGTGCCGGATGTGTGTAAAACTAAGGCGATATCGTAAGGTTGAGCGCGTTCAAGCTTTTGGTTCCCTTGACCCTGAAGAGACCCTTCCTCCTTGACATCGAGTACTACCTCTCTTCCATTCCAATAGCATTCTGCTATTACAGTCTTTTGCTTGCGAGCCGCTCGAACTGCAGGCCCTTCTTGACTGTATGCACCTCGGGGTAATAATAAAGCAGCCGAATTGACATCTTTAAGGTAGAATTCATACTCATCTTGCTTGAAAGCTGGATTGAGCGGTGCAGAGATAGCGCGTTGACAAGTCGTGGCGAGAAATGCAACTATGAATTCGTATGAGTTGGGTAGGGCTAACGATACCACGGCCTTGGGAGTGATGCCCAATAACGCGAGCTTCATCTGAAACGCTAGGACTTCGGAGGTCAAATCTTTGAATGAGATGGTCAAGGGTATTTTCCCTGGAATGATGATGGCAGAGGCATGATTGCCGGCCGAAAAGGTGTTGAAAAGAGTGCTCGCCATCACTGTAGAAAGGATGTGGTTGTTGTGGACAGAATGGTACCGCTGACACCGAATATGATAGTTTAGTCGTGGCTGTAATTCAAATGAGTACCTTCATATATGTAGCGAAATGGTTAGGATAATCTACCTTGTATTTCTTGATCCCTAAGAAAGAATGGAATTTGACTGATACAGCCTTTTACGGTAGACAGGCAATGTCATTTATTTTAAAAAAATGCTGAAATTGCACAAACCGCTTGCTTACTTACTTAACACGTCTAACCCAAGCGAAAGCAAAGACGTACGGGGCAGACCATTGTTCCCGGGATCACCTCGAATCTAGCTTTGTCGATCGGATACCCCCTCCCTCAACCCCAACCCTACAATGAGTGGATATCGAATATTGATAGAGCGACGACGACAGGGGATTGTCATCTCTACGCCATGTTCCTCGATGGCAGACAGTCTGAGACTTCGGCGTATTTCAACTGTGATGGTTAAATCTTCCGTAACTAGGTAATGCACCACGTCAAAGCATTGGCACGATCCACTCTAGCTAATTCTAGAGAAATTACTTGATGCAAATAATTTTTCCCGACTAACTGTGTTGCAGATGGGGTCATCTTCATCTCACGATCCATGGTTAGAATTAAATTGAGGCGGACGGCATGAGAACAGAGACAACAAAAATAAAATCAAGAAGCCTCTTTCTGTTTCCTACGTACTTGTAACGCGCAGCTGCAGGTCCAGCGCCGTCTTAGAGCTCATCACCAGCCCTACAGCTAGTCTACTGGGTTTTACAGGGAGACGCCCTGAAAGTTATGAGTCGGGCATTCCGCATCACTTAGCGCAATGAACCCGTTGCTGAGGCTGGACCAGTTCAGCGGGTGACCGATAATACTCAAAGCCAGGTCACGCAGTAATTATTCAATGCTCAGGTGGGATGGGAGGCCTGAATGTTTCATTAGATTTCGCTGCCTTGATCGCCCTGTACCTGGGGTAACAAAAGACGAGTTGGCTGGAATAGCACGTCCGTCCTACCGAAAATAACCCTTAGAGGTCGTCGCCGCCTTGGCATGGATGAACAGACGAAACAAGAGACCTCTTCGGACGGAAGTTGGCCCGAGTGCTGCTGGGTGATTCCAGTGTATGAGCCAAAGCCCCCAGTACCACAGGGATAATGCCGTGACATGGGAGGATTCATCGGGTCACGTTTTAGTAGATCAAGTGGGTGTAATTGGAGCAAATACCAGCTTTGCGATCTCTTGTATTAAAAGGTTGGCAGGCGACATCAAAGTTTCTGGGTCTTCGATCGTTTTCTGCCAGGCTTCGAAGACATGTTAACTGACAGTTTAGCCTTGGTTCATTCGTATAATCAGGCTGCAGGTTCATTCGGATGGAATCTCGGACCCAGAATTCAGGAACATTGACAAGTGTGGTCATTGACTTGACAGACATTAAAACACCGAACCCATTAATTGACAGGAACGTCATACGTCTGCCTGTAAAATGAGACACTAAGCGAGGTGCCAGCTTGATCGCTTACCGAATTCACAAAATTTCCTATTATGGGTATGATGAAGGGCAGGATACAGCTGTTCAACCGCGTAATACTGAACCAGCGTCCTTGCATGCTTGCCCTAGACAAATTTCGGAGCCGGCGGACGGCGAGCCATGCCCGAGCTAGACTGGAACACTAAAAATAAGACAGTGAATCCCATTATCCATGCGCAGGTCATCTTGATGGTTCCGCGGGTACAGGATGAACGAAACAGACAAGTGACACCGCCATCATGGATGCCCTCGTCTATTTCCACTCCTCGTTCTGAATGGTTCGTCCTGGGTGTCATCAGAGTTTTCCGGCATCAAGCGATAAGACGAATAGTCACATGACCGTACCGTGTTCTACAAACAATAAACGGCGGAGATTCCCACCAGGTACTTCCAAACATCAGTAGAACACGAGAAAATGTAATTTGGTAAAACAACCAATTTAAGTCCCTTTGAATTAGTGGCAAAGTTTAGGCTTTACATTGTATTGAGTATACCCCATGTCAAATCTAGAACGCGACAATATCGAGCCAGTTTAGCTACTTGTCGTGATTTGGTCCAATTGTGCGAAGCAGCAATCTTTTTCCAAAGTACTCTCGTGATTTCATGCAAATCACACTGCCTGGATTTCATGTGCTGTGGATACCTCTTGACGTGCGGGTAAGCTATACCGACAAGCTTGAGGTATTTATCCGATCCTTCAACCATGCTTGCAACCGCTACATACATACAACGGGCGCACATGAATCTGAACAGCACGAGTCGCTCAAGCAAATGAATGCATGCCCGAAGAACGGCGAGAGCGGATGAGTCGCCCGTAATCACCTCTTCCGAAGGACACCGTTTAACTGCTCACTTAGATTTCTTCTTCTCGCACAGGCTAAGGTGGTGGTGGCATTGAGTAAGTGGATTGCGCCGAGATGATCACCAAGAGTGGAGTAAATCAAGGGATTTGTCAGATAGGAGATAAAGGGATGAGGCAGGAAGGGGGCAGAGGAAGAATCAGGGGCGGATGACTCAGCAGCCAGCATCCGCGCTTCAGCTCATTTTCTGCTGCGTGTAACGCAATCAAAACAATCCCCTCCCTCTTAACAGTAATTTCGACACCTGACATCGAAACGGTTCTCACAAGACCTCTAAATAATCGAATCAATACACATCAAACCGTCGAGCCGATCTGCGAGGCAGGCTGCCAAGGCTCGACCTCAAACTCCACGGAGTCATTGGGGGTTACAATGACTAACTTTCTCGTAGATGAAGCGAGGGCTTTCAACCTACGCTTCGCAAAGGGAACGCATCGTCAAATGAAGGGTAAAGACTGAACACCTGTACTCGGTGTCCTCTACGAATCTGAGGGTGAAATATTCTCCCAGAGCCAAATTCAGTCAAATTTCGCAACATCAAAAAAGTTGGCCCACGAGGCAATGATTCAAATTACTCCAGAACGTCAAATTTTCACTCCCAACGAGTTTAACGCCTACATAAGCTTCATCAAGTCTACGAGTATGATCTAGTACATCCTCGTTTCAATGACCACACTTCTCATCGACTATTCTCTGGTCTATGCTGGCCACAAAATACACGCCCTCGCCGATATTTACACCCGACCGAGGAAGCAAAGCGTAGCGCACAAATCTAAGAGACAGTTCTTTGGGATGGACGCGAGAGGGATTAGGATAAGTTTACAAGATGATACAGAGGATAGATACAATCTCGACGGGCGTGAAGTTTTGAAATTTGGCAAGGAGTTTTACAAATTGAGCTTTGTGTGTACCAAGACTTCCGCTGCGAGGGTGCGGTCGACAATATAAAAACAAGCAAACGATAGAAGGTGCCATGGTCTGCCTCTTGGTGGTGTTCTCGGGTACAGTTTGGGTATCATGGGCACTTAATCCACTTGCGTAGCAGACTCCTATACCACATAATGCGCGGAGGAAAGTATATGGATGATGGAGGCATGTATGGATAACCCAGGGTTTTGAGATGTTCCCCTGGGTGGGTATTCACGAATAAAGTTTGACTTAGGGTGAAGAAAAAACCACCATAACTTCGCAGTGGTACTTGCAAATGAAATCCAAGGCATGATTGCTCTTCATTTGTACTGAGTCATCTTTTCTGTACTTTTTTTTCATATTGTGATATAGCTAGATAGCTGCATACGTAATTAAAATCTGATGCAAAAAAAAGCGCGTCGTCAATGGATACCTCACACTCTTGGCAGACACAACCGACCAACAGCTCCGATGAGTTGTAGCCAACAACGGACTAGCCTGTAAGGCTATGATAGCAGAAAATTTGCGCGGAAAACCCAGCTATCGACCCAGAATGCATGGTCCGACTAACACGGGTTGGCAGAAAAACCGTGCAGCGCTCAGAAGACTAGCTTTAAGTAATCTAAGAACAGGGAAATAGAGAAAGAAAAGCTTCTATCCGAGAATTCGAAGCTTAGTTGTAAGCCGCCGAGGCCACTGCCGAAAACGAACCCCCAACCGCTTCTCAATGCCCGTAAGAAACCATAACCTTAACGAACTTGATAATATGGCAACAACAATCAAGTTCCTCTGCGCTAACTTGGGCAGAGGAGACCCGCTACGGACATTATCCTGCAATCCGCTTGGGATTCAGGAACCGATGTCCTACTAATTCAGGGACCCTAGACTCAACTAAAAGACGGCATTTGACTCACAAAGTCGCATCCTGGCTTCGAAAAGCATATGCCGCCTGGTGCCGTCGAAAGTTTCGCAAGGCATCGCTCTCTTATTTACGCACGAAAAGGGAACAAGTGCTATCAGCAGGTAATCTGCGAGGCATCGCCAGATATTACAGCATTAAAAGTAGAAGGGATCACATTTGTATCCATATACCGCGCATCAGGAGCAGACCTTCTGCCGTTGCTAGCATTGACTCCATCTCGACCTACAGTAATTGGCAGTGATTTCAACGCAGCTCACCCCGAATTGCAACCTATGGCAACAAGACTATACGGAGATGGTCAGGTTCTTATTGACTAGATGCACGAGCATGATATGGACTTGTCTTCAAGTCCAGGTGTGCCAACTCACGATCCTGGAAACACGCTCGACTAAGTCTGGTCCAACGATGGAGCTCTCGCAGATATTTCGATTGAGCTCGAATCGATATCAGACCATCGTACAATTGCCAGTGATGTTCCGCGTCTAGATTCAAAAGATTCGATCAATATAAAGGTCAGCTAGACATTCCGGGTAAAGAGCAATCCGCTCGAAGACTTTTCTAAAGCCTTGAAGAGTTGGGGCGACGATATAGATAAAAAGCCTGTTATCTAGATACGCGACGTAGGCGAGCTTGCTGATGCATTGGTCCGGATAATAAGTGATGCAATAAGAGTCACATGCCAAGGTGGTAAAGCTAAGAGGCGTAGAACGGCATTCTGGTGTACCGAAGAGTGCCGTGTGACTAAAAGTCAATACAGAATCTTCAGGGACGATGAGAGCAGAAAGACTTTCCGCCGGATTGTAAGGATTGCGAAGCGCCAATACTGGCGTCGAAAGTTCTGCGAGGCCACAACAGACGCAGACATGTATCGAATGGCCCGCAGGGATAAACCACTGCATCTCCTCTCCAAACACCTAATGGTTTTGTAGGAGAACCAAACCGACGAGCTCACATTTTGAGAAAGCTGATTCTCGGCCGGTTTACTAGCGAAGACGATGTTGAAGATGAGCCCTCTGAATCGTGAGGTGGAAACCTTCCATGGGTCATCAGCATCACTAACGAAGAAGCCAGATGGGTTACAATCACATGTCAAAATAAAGCTCCCGGGGCCGGCGGAATCACTGTGCGACTTCTAAGGGCGGCATGGCCATCGATCAGCCACGCAGTAAGGACGCTTTACGAAGGCTCGCTGCGGCTAAATTACTTCCCGAAGATCTTTAAGCTAGCAGAAGTCATTCTTCTCCCCAAACCCGTTCGCGATCTAAGCATAGCTAAGGGCTCAGGACCCATAGCTTTACTTTTCTCTCTGGGAAAAGATCTCGAGAGGCTCATTGCTAAGCGAATATCATATAACTCTCCCTCAAAGGAGGTGGTACCTCAGCATCTTTTCGGTGCACTCCCTGGCAGGTTGTTTGGATTAGGTTGTAGTTGGCAATTCCTAACCTAATTGTGTTAGATTGCAGGCTTCTGTCTTAGGTATTCATGGTTTCGTAATTAAGGTTATTGTTAAGATTTAGCTTCGGTTATCTCACTGATTACCGAGCCGGCAGTATATCAAGGAGGCATGTAGCTAAGGTGGAAGTATCGCACGGTAAACTATATCTGAAGCTGCTACGTATTATAGTAGCTAAAAGAATACTGCTATTCGGAAACTACATCTCCATCCCAAAACCATGAGATAAATCAGGCTATGCACGCTAGATATAGAATGGCTAGCGGATATGGTGAATATGGGGGTAAATACGTAGATATATAAAGACATTGTAGCCTCTAAGTTTGAGAACAAGTCTTCAACCAAATTATATCGGAATTAATCCTAGCCTCTCATAAAGCAATCTCATGAATCTAGTTTCGTGTCTGTGATAACAGGCCAATTTATAAAATCTACAACAAGTTCAAATTCGATTACAGGTCTGCAAATGATCTTGTCGCGTGCGTCGTCCATGATGTTGAGCACGACATGCAGTGTAGGAAGAAAGCAGTCATCATCACTCTAGATGTCCAAGGGGCTTTTGATGCCATACTCCACGGACGACTACTATAAAGGATGAGGAAAATGGGTTGGACGGAATTATCTGTCGCCTGGATTAAATCTTTCTTAGTAGGGCGATCTGCCCATGTTCATTATGACGATGGCGCAACAGATCCAATGCTCCTACAGTATGGAATCCCTCAAAGATTTCCGCTGTCGCATATTCTTTTCCTTTTTTACATAATAGAAGTTGTGGGGGGAAGCGTCTGCAGATTTGGCTACGCGGATGATTTTGCCATACTTGGTATAGGATCAACCCCTAACAAAGCAGCATTATCAGTCCCACGGGAGGTCGATGCAGTCCTCGGATGGGCGTCAGACAACGCCGTGGCTTTTGATCTGGATAAGGCCGAAGTAGTTTACTTCCTCGGCCCTAGATCCAGAAGATGCGAGCGACCCACAATCAGAATCGGCACTCGCGAAAATCCAAGGCTCAGACGAGATCCGATGGCTTGGAGTGCACCTCGATCGTGGTCTTACGCTCGCAAGTCATGTTGCCAAGTGAACTAATAAAACAATGCACCTGGTACAACACTTTAGACGTCTTATTCGGTGCACGCAAGGACCATGGCCAGAATTACTAACTACATTCATCCGCACAACAGTCCTTCTAATTGCGTTACACGCTGCAGAGGTCTAGTGCCCAGGGCCGACTAGGGAAACATATCGGGGTGTTATGCGAAGCTCATACTAGAGACAGTGCAAGGCAATCGACCAAGCATCCGTGTCCGGAATCCGCGCTGTCATCCCAACCAGGCGCACCATGCCGATCATAGCCTTGAGACAGGTGACCGGCATTCTACCAGCACATATTCTTCTGAAGGAACGTAGGCTAAAGGCTGCTGCTCGAATCCGTCGACTAGATTGCTACCATCCGCTTTGACTCTGAGCTATGGAGACCACCGATAGTGCCCGTCCTCTCCTTGAACTACAAATATGCTACTATAGCAGACTTAGCCTCGATCGAGTTCATAATTCACGGGTCTAGAGGATATTCTGACTTTTACCAGATGCTAAACTACCCCCACCATTCGACCACAGCTACTAGCCACATCAAAAGCTTGTTGGATAAGCAAGGAAGAAGCAGCAAAATATATAACAGTGACTTACTACCCTGTCATCCGACTATCTTTGCGCTAACAGCGACGGTTCCGGAGCATCTACCGACTGTGTCTCGTGGGCCTTCGTGACATTTCTCAGTGGAACTGGAATAGTCATTGAATAAAGCGGCTCGAGGAAAATCCTGAATTTGGAATTCTACGACACGGAGGCTCATGGGGCTATGGCTGCTCTTGATACAGTTACCGTAGGGAAACGAGATCGGGGACAAAGCGCCGTCTACGTCCTGCTCGAATATTCCGCGGCAGTTCAGGCACTACTGATAGAATTAACTACTTCATGATCTTGGCGGGTTCAAAAGTTCTGGGAGATGTCTACAAGATCAGCTGAACCTGTAAAAGTAGAATGGATCCCTGGATACTCAGGGCTGTTAGGAAACGAGATAGCAGATAGGCTTGCTCGAAGAGAGCTCGACTCGCCAGATAACGCCAAGATGACGAACGATAGAATGACCCTTGCTTCGTCAGGATGTCATTCTCGCCAAATAGCTGGGCAAATGATGATAGACTGGTAGCACTCAGATCGCCCTAAACGCTACGCCAACTTCGAACTAGAGATGCGGCACAAGAAAGCGTCAGAACTAGCGCTCCCAAGAGCGCCTTACGCTCGCTTGATCGCTGCCCGAACAGGACATTGTGACTTCGCGGCGTACCACTGTCGTTTCAATCATACATTTTAATCATACAATAGCCACACATCACTGTAAGTGTGGTAGATCAAGCTCAGTTGGTCATCTTGTCTAGTGTAGAAAAGCACTGGCGACATGGCAACTTAAAAGCGGAAGACGGGAGGCCCCTTCACTGGTGGTCTTGCTCGGACTTCGAGGATGGCAGCTGTTCAGGGACTACGTCTGAGAGAGTGAAATATACGCGGTAGCTAGTCGGCTGATGGCAGGGATGGCTGTAACTCAGAGGTTATAGATCGAAAGCCTACGTGGTTAGGCATGGAAAGAGGGAATAGAATTGAGACTCGGGCGCGTGGTAGATGAGGCAGAACGATGGAAGGGAGATTGTTCAAATTTTTCTTTTGTAATGCGGGATTTCGCGTGGAAGTTTTCTTTAGTTTTGGTTCTGAGCTGCTGGACTTATTATGATGCAACAAATAGATATGTTTCGGCATGGTTTCGGTCATTTAGATGGGACGAGGCATATATGTACTTCACTGTAGCTAACCTGATCCGGCCCGGCGCCACTCGTGCTCAAGCTCCATTAGGAGTGCGACAGGTTTCATTTTACCTAGCACGTAAATGAACAATCAATCTACGTATCTACTAGAAAATATACTCCGTACGATATTATTTGGATATAAATGATGAAGTAGAGAAGACTTGATTTTTTACAACTATAGGAACATTGGACTTATACATCTTAGGGGAGAAATTCCCACTAGTCTCATGTGCCTGTCAAAGCCAGTGATGACTAGCCACCTCTCATCTACCATGATGAGCCAAGATACACCGTAGTACGTAAATATCCAAACGTATATGCAACAGTAGGCGCGATTAACGCACTCGGGACATGTGTAGAGAGAGTCGATCTTGTCGGGAACCTGAGACAAAACAGATAGTGGTTGAGTCCTAAATTCGAGAGTCAGAATTTCCAACAATATCATTTTAAATAACTAGTTTTATTCAAGCCCTCTCATCAACCAACTGAATAGAAGAAGAGTTGTTAGGATGTGCTTGGTTCATTCGTATTTGTGGTAGATAGTTGTCCGTTAAATCGCACCAAAACCTTAGCTCGGGATTGCAGTAAGGTTGTTCACAAAAAGTCTTACCCCTGGTCTAAGAATGAAGAAAGCTTCTGACAGGATTCTCCCTCGTTTAGTCGGCTCAATGGTCATTTTGCTTACATTTCTTTATAGGAATAGGCTTGGGGTCCGTCGTGCTGTGGTTTTGTACCAGTGGAGCCTAGAAAGCCCTCACAGCCAAAGTTAGTCGTTCTTTAAAGCCACGATGAAAAGTCAATAAACTAAGGCCTGAATAATATAATGAGCCACATCTAAAGGATTGTTTTAGATGGTTACAATAGGCAGGTCATATTGAGGAAATAAGGCCGAAAACTGAAGCAAACGGGGGAGGTATCTGATCACTTCCATAGTGGATGAATAATGTTATGATATTCTTTGTGAGAAATTTATAAAGTTCGATAGCCTTGAAATGGGGAGTATGGAAATTTTCAATCAATTACTTTACTTCACAGCGAAGGTTGAAGCCACAGTTCCTACCGTGGATCAACGAAATAGTTGGACGGATTGAAGGAAATGGACGTATCAATATCAACAATCAGTCCCGAAAGGAAGGACCGAAATCAAGATACTCACGCAGTAATTCCCTCAATATTGCTCCTGTTCCTTACATTAGTCGTGCTGTGGATAGCCCTTTAAAGTGTTCTTGTATCGTTTTCCCAAAATATGCTCAAGTTGTAGTCGATTCATGTTCAGCCGCGCTTAGAAGGTAAGCGGAGACTCAATGCCTATAACTGGCGTCTCTCACGAGCCATAGAATGATATAGGATAGTAATAACATTACAAACTCCTATCAAACCTTAGATGTTCTGTGGCTGCTATTTTCTCGGTATTTACCAAGGGAAAAGAAAACCCAAAGTTTTAAGGGTGTGAGTGTCAGATCTTCGACCGGCTTGATGGTGGTCATGGGATGGAAGGCGCATAGGGAGTATTAGCGGTACATTCTTATTGCTCACTTGTTGGATTAAAGTTTCAAGGTAAAGAGTGCAATCAGCGTTTTATATATATACTGAATAGCTACTCCGACTTTATAAACTTTTGACCTGCAAGCTGGTCTATGGTACTACTCTAAATTTTCTCACACAAGACTGTAAACCGATATCCATCATATTTTTGTAAATGAGAAGTTTCAGGACGATGAGCTGTAGAGTGTAATATTTTCGGCCAATCTAAATACACTTCTGGTAATTTTGTTGCGCCCCAATGGACTCGAGCCAGCCAATTCTTGTCCCGGTTGGTGTGACTATCCAATCTCTCTATAATGGCCTCAATACAGGTCTAGATGGTGTATTGCTGGATCACTTAACCCTGGTTCCATATTTCTGGTATATCAAATATTCCGTCTACGAGAGGTATGGGGTATTCAAGACCCAAACTATCATCTGCGGCCTCTTCCTACACATCCCAAATGTGCATGTATTCTGGAGGATGATAGTTGGGCCCGACATCTGCCACGCAACGAGATGCTGGTAGCTCTAGCTGGTAACATTCATCTAAAAATTGCGTCCGAGGAACATTGACACCATCGCAGATCTCTGAAGCACCCAGGACGATCATAGTTAGGTGGTATATTCCAGACGACATAATGCGGGTTCTAGATGCCGTCGGCGATATTTCGGCGATTGTCTTGGGGAAAATAAGACCTTGACACGCTGCTCTATCTTCACATGCATATACACGCATATCCTCTAAAAACACACGTTCGGAGATTATGAAATCTGTCTGGATGATCAAAGCACTTGCATGAGTCAATCTATTCTGCAAATTTTCAGTCGTGGCCAGTCGTTTCCGATCATTATCAATGTGAGGCCTGGGAGCCTCAGGAAGAAAGGCCCCATTCTGTCCAGCCGCACTGGCGTAACGGTTGCGGACGTTGCTGAGACCGATCCAGACATGCGCTGCCAATGGACACGGCATGTCTTGGATCTGATGGAAATCGCCGTCATAATGCTATCACCGCGTCTGCGCACGTCATCAAAGAGCTGGCTCGAGTGCCGCTTGAGTGATGTTGCGGATGAGAAAAAATGAGACATCGATGCTAACGTCCACCGCGAAAGAAACCTGTCACTGAGGAAATTTCGGTCTTATCTTACCTTGTCACATACCCTGAAATCTCATATGGCCAAGCTTCCGTGTCCCTATCACCTCTAGACGCGCTTATTTGAGGCACGCCATCCCTCGTGACATCGAGCGCTAGTGTAAACCAGAAAATTCTTACACCAGTTGCCGTCATTACCACAAAACATCAATTCTATCTCCCAGCAGTCGGGACCTCTATGAAAGGAATTTTCGATTGAGGTATGAATCATATACATGCTGCATTCCAGGGTCCCAACTACTCTGGGTATTTCTGTCTCGGAATCACACTCGGTCGGTAATAGTATTCAAGCTTACAGCCATCCACACAGGATTGTGCTCTTACTCATAAAGGATCAGCGGAAAATGGGGACTTATTACTTGTCAGCCGTGTCTCCTTTGGACTTCCAACCCTCATCTCGCGGTCTTGTAGGGCCAGTAACTAGCCCAACACTGGAAGAGAAAGCTTCTGTACTCGATGACTTCACTAAATTCTTCTCTACCCAATACAGCACAAAAAATAGATAGAATATATCACAGCGCATAGTCTTGGACAAGACTTTTCTCGTGGCTTAACATAACCTCCCATTTGACCGGAGACTCAAGTCACAAGGAATATTTAAAGAAAGCTAGGAATACAGAAAGCAATTCTTTTATGCACATAAAAGTTCACAGCTCCAGGCTGACCGCCTACCTACAATATTTCGGAGAGTTAGCTTTGTCTTTGGATACAGTCCTTGTGTGAGTATTATGGAATCTTTGCATCCAGTGGGATTTGCAAGTTTTCCTAGCTATCACCCACGCGCGAATGGCTTTTGCTTCGTTGGATAGAAGAAGAAAGATAACAAGGATTATCGGGTTCCTACAAGAGAATGGTGCAGTAAGGACCCGAGAGGAGTGGTCCTGACGGAATAGAGTGGTAAAGAAAGTGTCTAGGGGTAGTACTTCACCTACGCATCTAAACTAAGCTAGTCAGGCCACATGATCTTCCTATCACTACATCGATTTCATCCGTATCAGTAGGGATCTCTAGTCAACATATACAATGTAATACCGTGTCCCAAGTATCTTTCTTAAGAGAAGTTACATGAGAGGATATACTAGACGCGGCATATATTTCCTAGGTCTACCGGTAGAAAGCATCCCTATGTGCTTTGTGGTCATTAACTCAGAAAGCATAAGAAACTACCAAATTTCCCTGTGTAATTAGGGTGCGTAGAAAACTGAAGATGTTACTTTTACTATGCAATAGAATTGCGAGGTATGAAAATGATAGAGAGGCAGCCCTGGGAATATAAGATAGGTTGGCTGTAGAAGGAGAAATAGGAGTAACTACAGCGAGCTCTAAATTCATGTCGCGTGTAGGTGTTTCATGTTCAAGCGCCTGCACTACCCTTCTCATTTTTTTGGTTTAAATTTAAGTCTCCACTGAGTCCTAGATTATGAAAGCCTACTGAAGATCTACCTGAGTAGCTCTCTAATCTATAATTTAATTTATAATTTGAATATTATTAAGGAAATAATGACCCCCTTGGTCATTGAGGTTGTAGAGCGCATTGATTCAAGTAACTAACAAAGTGAAACTAAGTACAGAATTTGCAGTCATGAGTGTATCAACAACGTGGCCAACTTGAAAGCCCTAATTTTGCTAGATTCTAACAAATATTAAAATTATTTGCTAATTGACCCTGAGGATTATTCCCTGATTACCTTGCTCATTGTATGTATGGAGATGTGAGAATCAGAGCTACATCACTTTTCTCAAAAACGGATTGACCGCGACCCTTTTTCAAACCCTCCCGCCTTCCATAGTGGTGTTGGCTTATTATTGGTCGAAAATCCGACTTGCAGAGATTTCACGACAGCGCAACTCAATGAAATCAACTATCTACACCCCAGATATGAACTGCAGACAGGCTAAAACCTATCTGATGTTCGTATCACAACAACCGACACCTTTAAGGCCTTATTTTCTATTTCTCTGGAAAATCACTCCTAGCCAAACTCATCTCGCGGCCCTCTCCACAATCATCCCTTCACCTACCGAAGCAATCCCATACCTCCAAAGGTCAAATCGCCAAGAATAAAGCAAGAGAATTTCCAACCCTCCGCAATTGCCAGTCGCTGTGGAGGTACAGTCGAAATACCGGCCTTAAATGCGTCTTCACCTCGGCCAAGGGCACCAAGAACTCGACCTACGACAAATAGCCACCGACAAAATACGTACGAAATTTCGCGGGCACACCAACTAGAGCGTTCGACAAAGGCTGTGGCACTGGTGCCTCGGTCTTGAGCTATCAGTCGCGTTTTTGACCTCCACGGTTAGGGGTACGGCAGCGACGGGGCAAGGTCAGAGGGGTGGACATTCTACAAGGTTTCTGGGATGACCATATCGGCTGAAGGAAAGAGGGATGCCGTGATGAGCCAGAGCTGGGAATGAATGGAAGGGGAAATTTGTAGATCGCGAAGGCGTCAAGGGCTCGGGCGCGTGGTGGCCGAGATCGAGGAGGAATTTGCGCCTCGGCACGTCAAAAGAGGACTCTCTGGACGGTTGGGCTTGACATGATTCAACACATGGGTGAAGTCAGAGGTGGTCCGGTCATTTAGGTGGGACGAGGTAGATATAATTAATGGTAGTTACTTTACCTAGCACGTTGATGAACAAACTAAACTAAACCAAACTTTCCATTCACCAAAGAGATATAAGGGTATCGGAAGATCTCACCAAACCCTACACGCGCTAGCTAGGGGTCCACTTTGATCGAAGTCTCTCATTCAAATGTCATGTCCGCATCCTAGCTGAGAAGGCTATCAAAGCTGCCAACGAACTCTTATCTCTCCACAACAACGTCTGAGGAGCGCCCCTCAACTTATCCGACAAGCCATCTTAGCTTGCACACTTCCCATCGCCTAATATGGCGCAGAGACCTGATGGCCCGGCCGCACTAGATACAGCAATAGACTCATCTCGAATCAAGTCGAAGGACACTTATCCATCCTCCGCAGAGTTGTTCTAACGGGAGCCAGAGCTAGCCTACCTGTATATCGGACTACGCCAATTTTTATTCTGTACCGTGAATCAGACCTCCTCCCTTCTGATTTGGAGCTGGACTCTAACTAAAAGTTCGCGGCACTGCGCATCCAACGCCTGGACCCTAGTCACCCACTCCGGCAAAGAGCCATATGGATCCAGGCACACAATCTTCGAGTTCCCGTCTTGCGGGCTGGGTTCTCCAAAGTCCGAACACTGAGACGATGGACCCTCTGATTCAGCCGCCATGGCTCAAAAGAGAAACATGGTATAATAGTGTAAAGCGAGTGACGCACCCTCACATTAATCTCCCCTCTGGCATCCCTTTTAAAGATCTAGCAGTCAATATAGATGGCGCTAGATCTGAGATAGCAGGATTGTCCAGGACAAACAGTGGAATAATTATCTTTCAAGCTGGCCAGTTGGTATACCGCGAAAGTCAGTCCCTTGACTCGAAGCTGTCACCTTTCGACATAGAAGTGACCGCCGTGAAAGAAGCTCTCAAACCTACGCCTTCTCTACCAACAGCACGTTTCGCAGAAAATATTTGGATACTCACAGATAACCTGGAGGTAGCTCGCCTTTCATTTCAGTCCCCAATTTGCTTGTCACAAGTTGTCATGCAGAGACATGATTCATTCATGAGTTGTTATTGTTCAAACGATCATGACTATATTAAAACGTCATGTAAAGACATGATTCATCATTTGTACTTGTTGTATTAACCATGACTATGTCTCAGTGATAGGAGAGACATCGTTGACTAGTTACTAGAAACCTAGTCAAGATCCTAATCACAAAACTGAGACTAGGAGTATTTTACTGACTGAGTAATTATTCTGATGAATCTAGATCTCGAGCGACATAATCTGGCTGCCTGGCTCGAGGTTTATGAACCGGAGTGAATCATGTCAAATAAAATATATATAGAAATCTATCTCAATTACAATCATCATCTTAATTCATGTCACCATCAATAGCTGAAAAGAACAGTTTAACCATTTCCTTGTACAAGTGGTCTTTCAACAAGTACAGGTCCTCTCCCGAGACTGGCCTCTTCGCGCGCGGCTTCCATACATTCCTCCTGGGAAAGTCCAGGCTTATTGGATCCCAAACCACTCTGACATATTGGATAATAATTTTGTCGACGCCTCTGCCTGGGAGGGGCTTTCAAACCCCCCGCCCATACCTCGTGGGTACGTTTCTTTTGACATGGCGAAAAACCGCATCAAAGTAGAAGTGTCGACAACTATGAAAGATCACTAGGACCAACATGCCCCAGTTTCCTATAGGGAGCTTGCCATCAACTCATACTCTCATCGCCCTAAAGAACTCTCACTAGCCAGACCATTTCTCTCTAGAAAATACGCTGCCCGCTGTAACAGCTAGTGAGCTAGTAATTATTCAGTGTCACATGACAATAATCACGTGCTGTACAAATCTTCGAACTCAACATTCTTTCATAGATCAATCGGGACGTCACTAGAAATTTCTAGTAACTAGTAGTGGGACTGCATACCAGCCTCAGGGGAACATACTAGAAACTGGTTACAGGCGAGAAGAATATTCCAGATAGTATAGTAAGTGTATAAATAGTTGAAGTAGGACTTGTATAGATAGGCACAGAGAAAATAATAAACTACTTATGTATATCTGATTGTGTTATGATATGAGACAACGAGGTAGTCGAAGCTAGGGCATTGCGTGTGGCTCAAGGCTACAACATACATCAATAGTGTACTGGTTAGGCGAGCATGTATATAGCTTCATAGATGTATCCACAATAAATGGACACAGGTTTAGTCTTATA